AGGAGGGAAGGTTCAGCTTTGACTGGTGACAGACTGGAGAGGATGGAAGTTTGCCTCACAGTCATCACAAAGAAGACTGTGTCCTCAGGGAGCCAGAGGAAGAATGGAGCATTCCAGTCCTCACACAAGGCTGGCCTGAGAGAGAAACCAGAAGACAGCAGTGACAGCGTCAGGGCTTGGTTTGGGGGTAGGGAGGGGGTGGGTTGGTTATTGTTGGGGTTGGGTTTTTTGGTCTAATTTCAGCTCAACATCAAAGTGTCCCCAAAGCATCATGGGACAGAAATTTTACCCCTCCTCATGTCAGGCTCCTACCTCCTCTCTTCTCCATTCCTTTTCTCTTTCCTTTTTCCACTCCACCTCTTTGAAGTTTTTCATTTTCTTCACCTACCCTTTCCATCATCTGCATTCTTTTCTGCCCTCTTTCTCCCTCTCCCCTCTAACCTTTTCCCTTGTCTCTTTTCTCCCCTCTCCTCTCCCTTTTTCATCCTCTCTCACCCTCTCCCTCTCCTCCTTTATCTCTCTTCCCCACTGTGTCTTCTCCAAATCCCCCTCTCCTCTCTCTTCTCTGTCCTTCTCTCACCCTCTCCTCCTCCTCTCTCTTCCTCACCACCCCTCTTTCCTCTCTTTCCTTCCTCCTCCATTTCCTAGCTCTCTCCTTCTTTGTATGCAATGTTTTGTCAACCTTAAGCATCTCTATAATTGTAGAGTATTTTATCTTCCTCTCCTACCCCTTCCTTCTCTCTCTTTTCTCTCTCCCACCCCTACCTCCAGCATCTACTTCCTCAACTTTCTCCCTTCTCCTCTTTCCTTTGCCTCTGACTCTCCCTCTCTTCCCCTATCCCTCTCCTCCCCTATCCCTCTCCTCCCCTTCCTTTATCTCCCAGCTCTTCCTTCTCCCCTTTATCCTGACCCTTCTTTTCCTTTCCATCCATCTTTCCTTTACATACCTCCTATCTCCTTCCTTCCTTTTATCTCTCACCTTTCTCCCTCTCTTCCCCTTTATTCTGACTCCTTCTTTCCCTGCTTCTTCCCTCTGCAGCCTTTTCTTTCCTCTACCTCCCCTCCCCACCTTTACTTAATCTCCCTTTAATTTGGACCCTGATTTCCTCTCCCTGTCAGTACTGGGGCACTTGATGATGATTAGGAAATCAGGTTGTTTGAAGAGGGGGTTGCTTGATCAAAACAATCACTTGGTAAAGGAAGCAACAGGACTCATCCCTAATATCCCCACTTCCTTCTGGCTTCCCCATCCCCCACCAATATGAAACACTAAACAAAACCAAGGAGATAAGGCGCCTCCAGCCAGTCTTACCCAGCAGAGCACTCTGTCTGGGAAAGAGTGTTCCAACCCTCTCAACTATGTGATTGATTCAGTGAGAGCTCAAGCATGGGATCAGGAGGCCTGAGTTCAAATCTCGGCCCCACTTCTTCTGCCTTTGAGACTTTGGGCAAGAACCTCTCCTCTCCTGAAAAGTGAGGGGGTTAGACTAGATTGTTTTGCAGAATCACAGAATATCAGGGTTGGAAACAACCTGAGATGTAGCCTTTTAGTTCAAACCATTGCTAGAAATAAATCCCCATGACATTCTGGTTGACCAGTGGTCATCCAGGCTCCATTTGAAGACATCCGACGAGGAAGAACCCACCATGTCCCAAGGCAGCATATACCGCGTTAGGGAAGCTCTAATTGTTAGAAAGTTGATCACATAACTTCTACCCCTTACTCTTGACTCTTCCCTCTGGGGCCAAATACTTAAAGAAAGTAATCAGGCTTCTGCCCAGAGTCCTCTCTTCCCCAAGCTCAATGTCCCCAGTCGTTTCAGCTCCTATGGCCCTTCACCATCATGGGTGCCCTCCTCTTGACTTTCTCCAACTCACCACTATCCTTCCTAAACTGTGGCGCCCAGAACTGATCACTGTATCCTAGATATGGCCTAACCAGGGCAGGGGAAAATGATACTCTCACCTCTTTGTTCCCAGAAGCTACATTCTTAAAGCTGCCCAAGATCATTATTTCACAATGTTGAGATCATATTGAGCTTATGGTCCACTAAATCCCCCAAATCTTTTTCAACCAAACTGCTGTCTTATCATGCCTCTGCCATCTTGTCCTGGTAAAGCCAATTTTTAAACCCATGTCAGACTTCACATGTATATGATCATGAGGTCCTGTTCAGCTATAACATTCTATTTTAAAATCATCTCTACCTGTAAATCTTTGTTGTTGTTATTGAGTTGTTTCAGTCATGCCCTACTCTTCCTGATCCCATTTAGGGTTTTCTTGGCAGAGATCCTGAAGTGATTTGCCATTTCCTTCTCCAGCTTATTTTACAGATGAGGAAACTGAGGCAAACAGCATTAAATGACTTGCCTGGTGCTCTATCCACTGCGCCACCTATGATCCTACTATTATCTCTTTTTTCCAGAAGGGGAAACTCAATCATGGCAAAGTCAGAATACTTATCTATCCAGCTTTGAGAGAGGCAGAAATGGAAATTATAAACATTCACATTTTTGTAGAGCTTTAAGGCTGACAAGAGGCTTTCATCACGCCAATCCTGCAAGGCAGGTGGGGCAAGTATCTCTATCCCTATTTGACAGTTAAGGAAAGTGAGGTCCAGAGAAGTTAAATTACTTGTCTAAGGATTAAAGCATCTCCGCTCACAGAACCCAGTTCACGGGCTGTCCAGTCCAGTGACGTCATTGTTGTTGTTGGGTCATTTCAGTTGTGCCCAGCTCTTCCTGACCTCGTTGGGGGTTTCCTTGACAAAGATACTGGAGTATTTGTTGTTTCTTTCTCCGGGTCATTTTACAGATGAGGAAACCGAAGCAAACAGAATTAAGTGATTTGCCCAGAGTCATAGAGCTTTTAAGTGCCTAAGGCCGGATTTGAACTCAGGAAGAGGAGTCTCCCTGATGCCAGGCCCGGAGCTCTATCCACTGCACCACTTAACTGCCCTCCATGACACCAGTGATGTCCCAAGTGTTACAAAAAGCCCAACTTGATACACCGTCCATATTTCCATGTAAAAGGTAGAAGAAGCTCTCCCTTGGTGTGGCCAAGGACCATCCTGTCCTAGCTCTTACTGCTGCCACCTCCATCTGGGCCTACCCTCAGGCCAAGCCCCTCTGGCTCTCTGTGCTCTTGAAATGAAATCCTGATTTCTCAGCTTGTGCCACCCTGAGCCAGAGTTTCATGAGCCTCTCACACCCGGTGCAGCCTGCTCATCATTCTGGTGTCAGTACCAGGCCAAACCATCGACATTTTATCCCTGGGAACACAGCTAGCACTAAACCATGGAGAGGGAGTCAGAATCCTAGAAGGTCAGAGCAGAGAGGCCCTTAGAACATAGACTGTCAGAGCCAGAAGGAAACTGAGAATGTATGTTGTCAGAGCTGGGAAGGCCTTAAGAGCAGAGAATGTCAGAGCTGGGAGGGCTCTTAGAACACAGGATGACAGAGCTGGGAGGGCCCTCAGAACACAGGATGATAGAGCTGGGAGGGCTCTTAGAACACAGAATGTCAGGGCTGGGAGGGGCCTTAGCACACAGAATGTCAGAGCTGGGAGGGCTCTTAGAACACAGAATGTCAGAGCTGGGAGAGCCCTTAGCACACAGAATGTCAGAGCCGGGAGGACCTTAAGACACAGGATGTCAGAGCTGAGAGGGCCCTTAGGACACAGGATGTCAGAGCTGAGAGGAATCTTAGAACAGAATGGCAGAGCTGGGAGGGCCCTTAGAACATAGAATGTCAGAGCTGGGAGGGCCCTGAGGACACAGAATGTCAGAGCT